GGGTATTGTTGTTCAACGACAAAGGCTTGCAGTTAAAGTATTTTCCTAAAACTAGATGGATCTTTTTCTCCCTGATATCTGATTTTGAGATCACTTTACAACAATGCTGCTTGTTTCAAGCTAAACTGACAAAGTTAGAGTTTGAAGACTTCTTCTGAAATCCGTACGGCCGCATAGAGAGGTGCATTTTACTTCTGGAGCCTTGAGAGGGCAGAACAAAGGAGCGCTTTTCTTTAAATTTAAGAATATTTATTTTGTAGCCATTCATCCATACATTTTCTTCTGCTTTATCCGTTGCTTTATCCAGTGTCCAGGAGGCCTCCCGCTTCAGCACAACACTTACATAAACTGCCCGCCATCCAGCATAGTGCATATCAGTGAATTCTAATATTGCAAAAATTGGTGCAGATGTAATTGTACAAATTGACTGTTCACAATGTGCTCTGAAACTAAAGGAAGATGCAGAGGACATAAGGATGAATGGAAACAGGGGTCTTCATTATAAAAGGATTTCACGGGGAGATGGGTTCAGAGTGGGCTGGTACATAAGAAGGACGACGCTCCACGTGGTGATTAAACGTGGCGGAGCTGCTTAATATTGATGCATAGATAGTTCAAAAAGCGACTCTCAAATACCGCCTCTCTGTGATTGTATTTAAATGAATTTGACAGGGAGGTTGGAGCTGAGTGCGAGATACAGGACCGGTTCTATAGCTACCAGGGGGCCAAGGGGAAACTATGCAAGAAAATAAGAGTTCCTTTATTCGTCCCACAGTGGGGAAATTTCGTGGGATCACACAATATATACAAAATTAGCAGTAGCTATGTTTCTTAACTAGCATAACTGGCTGTAGATGCTGGAAATGCTTCAATACAGAAATGCATGTTGTTCAAGGGCCAATATACAGGGCAGTGGGACAGAGTTATTTGCAGATTGTTGAAAGCTGGAGTACCTCACATCTGTTTGAAAATCATGTTGCGAGCAAATCAGACCCAAGACAGATGTATCTTCAAGAGACAATACAGACAAATCTAATCTAGTCACAACATGCAGTCTTCATAGAAAACATGATATCAGTTGCATTGAAAAAGCCCGGTGGACTTTGGGCTGAGAGATGATCTAAAAGTAGCAACAAAAAAATGAGCTGACTATTCTAGAGCCAGGAATTCCAGTTTCCTTACTGTGGTTTGAAAGTTAGGTACCCTAGCTTTAAGTAGGATTTATGTAAGCCACAACAGTAATTTCCCTATATCACCTTTATGATAAAAAGTTTGGGTTTGCTTTAAAAAATATCAAGAGCAAAAGTCTTTATGAAGAGATGGTGTGTTATGCTGTAATGGCCAAGGACACTGTCACCATTATCAATAGCAGCTATCACTTTTAACAGTATGTCCTGAGAGCTGTACAGTGCCTACTTTGGTCAATTTCCCCTTTCACACCCAACAGCATAAACGTATTCAAATGACTGCTTTGTGTGCGATCCTTTATAGACATTTTCAACCAATTCACCAGAGGTTTAAATGGATGTTAAATCCATTTCACAGCAGCAAATCTGAGCCTCTGTGCTGCCAGAAGTCCCCAGAGTCCCCCATTAGTCCAGCTAATTTCACGTCATATGAGCTAAAATTAATTCATTCATAAATTAATGAGTGTAGCCGCAGAAAAATAAGACGGCGTGACATCAATAGTGCCTCGTAATCGCATTTACACCTAGAGCCAAAACCCACAAGGGACAGAGTTATCTTCACAAATGCACTCAGTCAGAAAGATCCAGCGCTGTTACGTTGGATTAACATGTCAAGATGGACTAAAACTAAAAAGAGGACAGTGTGTATTGTATCCAGACTGTATATATTGTATCACAGAGAAAAATGCAGAATAGCTTCATGTGACATCACAACATTCTAAAGAACCTAAAGTTTCAAATTGTGGTGAGGGGCAGCAGCAAAATCTTTCCTGGTAACTATGGTAAGATCATTTCTCTAATTCTATATCTACATCAAAAACTAAAAACTATCAGTACCACATATGTACTAAGGTCCACTGTTCAAAAACACTTAAACAAACTTAGAGGTTAATTGTCAAGTTTAAATATGCATAACACAGCTGTCCTTGTGGGGACCAGCTTTTTGTGAAGTGGTTTGACACCTGCTTCTTGCCAGAGATATTAGTGTTATAGATTATATAGAGATGGACAATGCTAATGCCTTAGCTCAATGAGCTGAGGGAAGTGCTCATTGACGAAGTTTTGCTCCAATTTGCTCTGGCTCCTAATGACTTACTGCAACCGGCGCGCCGGCGGCCGTTTTTATGTTTTTAAATGTTCTGCTGGCAATAGCAGATGTATTTTGAACACCAAACCCCAAAAGCTGTATATCATTTTAAAGCTTATTTTCTTATCTACATTTATATACAAGTGTAAACTACATCAGACGTTGCATTCAAAAGATATAACACATAATGTGGGCACAAAATAAATCAATTCCAAAATAGTTTTTTACCTTTGGGCTTGTGCTGTACAAATAAATCAGCTCTCCTCCCTGCTTGCAATACATCATTCTCTCTGGAACAGTCCAAAGGAAAATTATATCCGCTTGTATTTCCCAAAGTAAAATCCATTCTGCAGAAATAATCCAAAAATGTGCATTTATCTTTAGCGAAAAAAACGACAAAAAAGAGCACAGATGTTACTCTTTCACTTTTAACGGACTTTTAGCTTTGTTTTTCACCCAAACATCTGGTATCTACGTGTTCCTTAGCTCCTTATCTTTCAAATGAGACTACTCCCGAAAAGCTAGACCAATTTTTGGGTCTGCAAGAGGTCCCGCGAGTACAGCTTGCGCTGCTGTTTGCGCATTGAACACTGATCTTTGTTGTGATCTCAACTTGTTTGCTTTTACTTCCGGGATTTACGATTGACATGTCCTTGTAGCCAATGAGGAAAGCTTTCGAACAAGGGGTGGGACAATGGTGTCCTGTCTTATGTTGTGCCTGGACAATTGTGCGTAATGGCAGCCAAAAGACGCTCTCGAAGCTGCAATGAATTTACACTCATAAAAAAATAACTTTGACATTTAAAAAAGAAAAACACACATAGATTAGTAACTTATAAGTGCCAATAATAAAAAATATTGTTTTTATGATGATTAAATGTAAGTAAAGATATTTGGCACAATTTGGCACACTTGTGCCAAATTGTGCCAAATGTGCACTACTTGATGAAAAGGAGAAACTGCATAAAAACTGCAAAACTTAGAAGTCTGAAACTTTAGACAGTTGTTGTCAACAACACAATGAACAGAGGGTTTGAATATTGTGAACTTACAATGAAGTATGCCTTTTTTAGGGCCTTTAGAAATTGAAAATGTTAGGCGAGGCTAAAAAAAATGTTTTTTTTTCCCTAACTTCAAAGGATGCAGAGGAAAATAGGAATGACAAACATTATTTTAGTGTTTTTTTACATAAACTAGAAGGCTCTAGCTTTAAAATGATGCATCACACAAGCATGTGAGATGTAAGATGTGTTTTTAAATAAGCAAAGACATTTGGGTATGCCCAACCATTGTGCACGAGCCAAAATGAGGCGGGTTTTAAGAGGTTAAGAAATTGGAAAGCAACATATAACTCAGCAACCGTTTGTGTCACACTCACCATTTTGTGCTGATACTCATGGTTTAGTGCTCTCGATGATCCTGGTGTTTATATTGTGATATCGTCTTTGTACACCATGAACAACTGACCAATCAGAAGCCTTCTGTCACCAAATTCAGTTTTGGCAAACAGTAGCGTATTAGTAATCATTCAGGTAAATAAATACAAAAGAGATTCAATAATACATTTATTTGTTGTTTAAAAGTAATTTAAGTAATCACCAACACATAACAATTTATTTGAGATTTGTGCATCAGGGTAAATCTTTCATCTCCATTCATTGTCAGCAGTTTCATTCACTTACAATACATTTACTGTGCTTCTGTTGCAGACAAACACTAAACCAACGTTCCAGACAACAGTTGGGACAAAGCGTCTTTTCTGTCTTCACTTTCCCCAAAGAAAAGAGTGAGTCCACGTTTTTAGCAGTGGCTTGACATTCTCAGAATGCATTGCAACAAAAGTTAGAGATTTGCTTAGAAAAGGCGACCGCACTAGAAAACTAAAACTCTATGAAGCATGAACAGAGTTTTATTTTTTTATTCTATTGCCTTGTGAATTGTGCTTCCTCTGTTTTTACAATGTTCTGATCATAAAGGAAAGATAAAGAAAACACATGTAAACGTTTACATTATTGCTGTGATAATAGAGTAGAATACTTTAGTCTAATTCTAATAGTCTCACATTATTTAGTACTGGAATGTTTTCACAATGAGATGTTGCACAAACTCACACAGTACAGTTGCATTTGGCCCCAACCTTTTGTTTTATGTCAAGTTTAAAGATGCATTCCTCAGCTGTCCTTGTGGGGACCTGCTTTATTGCCATTAAGGGGGCTCTGGGGCTGACTAAGTAGAGAAATTCTCACATAACATTTGCCTACATTACGTGTGCTTATACAGTATATATAATAGATATTCTATTTACTATAACTGTTCAAAAGTTGTTAAGGCAAACATGTGCATTCCTCAATTGTGGATGATTTTAGTGCTCCTCATAGATATAAATTGTGAAACGACATGTAAAAGGAAACGTTTCAGGACAAACTGGAAAAAAATATCCAGAGAAAACATTTTGATGAACCCTGGAGTAAAGCTGAACTTCCTCCAGGACAGTTGTGGAATGCACCTTTTATGCAACAACATATGTATTAGGCTCGAAAATATTCACTTATCTGGCTTATTACATTTTACAGTCAAATATATTAATTGCCTATTGTTTATTAAGAATTATTCTACTTGATTGATTCACTGTTGGATTAAGGCCGAATGTGCCATAGTACTATTATGGACATGTGAGTGAATAAGACTACACTGACTACACCACCCGCTCCCCCAAAACAGTGATTCTACTCTTCGATCTCCAGGATGAGGTCGTCTCCCTCCAGAGAGGAGTCCGTAGGGGCGTGGATGGCTTTCACCGTGCCGGACATAGGCGAGTTCACCACAGTCTCCATCTTCATCGCGGACAGGACGCACAGAGGCTGGCCCTTCTCCACCTGAGACAAGACAGGATTCACCATCAGATTCTAAGAATTCAGTACGTTTACGAAGCACAAAAATGGAGCCAAATTGGTCTGACCAGTCTGGGGCCAGTAACCTGGCAAGAACCAGATTGATGATTGTGTAGAACTCTAATGCGTTCTTCACAATATCAATCTGGGACTTCTGCAGGAGAATCCTTTCGGGGAAAGGAGGGATAAGCAGAATACTTCAAGTTGATTGGGCGAAGTGACGCTGTGTGCCCGCCCACCAAGGTTGCCGTCCAGAAATGCACAAAGCGCCTCTCGCTGTTCATCTTTCAAAAAAGAAATTGGAGATTCTTCTAAAACTGACTCGATAGCCTCAGCTACGTGTCCGTCCTCCTGCGTAGCCATGTTTGTTTTGCTTTGGCCCGGCACTTCTTGCTTTCGTGAAACCCGGATATCCCGCCCTAAACCCCAAGACTGGCGCGTGATTGGCTTGAACACCTAGATGTTCGACTCGAAAAGGGTTGGCGGGAGCGGGACAAGATGTATTCTCGAGTGTTTGTGAACTCACAAATACCGCGAGAATTCAGCTTGCAGGCAAGGTTGTGGGGCCAGTCTACATGTGGTGATGATCGGACGGAGCCTTGTGTTAAAAATCCCACTTGTGATGTGTGATGAGAAAAGAGGGAAGTTAAGTATTCTCACACACTTTGTTTTCTGTCCGGAAGAAGTCGGACTGCAGATGGCGCTGTCGTCCAACCTCTGGTGGTAGGGAGACAGCACCAAACACTGCATGAAAAGTGAAATTTCCGTCCCCGTAAACGCCCGCAAATTTCCCTCATTTTCGGCAGTCTACGACAATGTGCATCCCGCGTTGGCGCAGTTTGTCTGTGCCACAATTTGTCTGAAACATACCATGGCGTATCTTGTATACATGTGCTAATGGACTCATTAGCATATGAATGCAGCGTCTGGCCAGGCCGCTTGAATACCCCTGTGAGTATTGGCCGATACCACTACTTTCAAACAAGAAAAATCGCTCGTGATTGGCCAGAATAAGCTTACTCCTTAAAACAGCTGACAAGACACGTGACAGGGACATCACATGACTACTTTCAGGAAGTAAAGACATTTCAGGTTGGAAAAACAACATTCAAAATAATTAACTTGTAAATAGATTAGTTCTAGTTCACTGATCACGAACCATTAGCATTAAATCATGCTATTGCTAATTAACTCATAATGAATGATGGCAGTTATTATACCTTAGTTATTATTACCACTACATGTTGCTGGTGAAGTGGAGCTTTTATAACTGATATGTATTTAGTTATAGTGAAATCCCTTTTAACCTAATGTCTGTTTTAAAACCTCGATCAAACCCAACGGGGCGTGGGTGTATTATTTTACAATGACTGACCTTAGCTCCAACTTCCACTTTGACCTCCACGACTTTTCCGGGCATCGGCGCTCCCACTTGACCCTTAATAGATTTCTGAGCCTTGGGATGGAATTTCATTTCCTGAGACAAGAGAAAAATACATTTCAGAGACTGTATCTGTCAAGAGCCTTGGCACCGCACTGGCCTGTGGTGTGCGAGTGCAGAGCCACAAACACAGCGCTTTTGGGCAGAGAAAGACTGGGACAGAGGGTGAAAGGGCCTGTCCCTCACTTTTCTAATTCCAAGCAGGAAAACAGACTTGGAGATGTGTCAGTGCAGCAATATGAGAGAGAAAAATACTGTGAGCTTGGTACGTGACTTTTGTATGTGAAAAATACAACTGTTTCTCTTTCATGATTATCCTTTTTTTAAAGTAGTGATGATTTGTGACTGAACTGCCCTGTGGAATTGTGCTATACAATTAAACTTGTTTTTGCCATGTAATTGTGAATTCTATGTTGTCCCTTTATCATGCATAGTAAACATACAACTTTGTAACAAAAATATGTTAGCTGCACAATTGATTACATAAGTTATAAAAGGATGTTTATAATGTAATGTAATCCATGTTTGTAAATCTTGTAAAAGTTAAAAAAAGAAAAAAAGAAAAAAAAGACCATATCAGCTGTATTCATCTTATTAGAAAACATGTTATCTTTTGCAGACTTGTAAGAAACATCGCTGTGAGTCACTATTTGGCGCTATGGGCTGGAATGGATAGACTTTATACAGTAAGCCCTAGCTTTGTACAAAACTTTGCTCGCTTCATAATCACCTACATGGCCTTTAACAACACTATTCTACACACTATTTGAAACTACACACTATCTGTACACTTTGTCCGATTAGATGTATTCACTATTCTCCAGTCTACATTGTTCTATAGAGAGACATGGACGACACAACCACAGTTTACATGAATGCAAATTGATGCCAAAAACATGAACGTTGTGTCAGTAACATACAGAAAATGCAAAAAGTAACAAAATTATGTCTCTAAAGATGTTAAACGCTTCGAGGGTTATTTTGATAAGACGTGTGTATAGAAGCTCGTACTGCTTAATTGCCACATGTTTGGGCGGGAGACTTCATCAGACGGCACATAATGGTGTGAAGTGTCTCTTATCAGCTGTTGTTACCGGATACGGCCAGTCGGACAAAATAATAGGAACGGAAAAATAAAAGAGGCAGTTGAAATCTGGAAGCGGGGTGTGCCGACCATCAACAGAGACGAAGGGGATTTCACCTTGGCTCACACTTGTGACTCACTTCTCCATAGACCTGGTCTGTCTGACGGATCTGCTCAATCTATCAGACTGGCTGCATCCGGTAAAACAGCTGATAACAGACACGTCACAGCATCACAAGTCACCTCTGACGATGTGGATGTGATTAAGCAGAACTAGCGTCTTTACACTCTATGTCTTATTAAGAGAACCTTCTAAGCCTTTCACATCCAGTATTCCAGTCTTACCTTCATGGCGACGGTGTCTTTCACGAGCACCGAGCGCAGTTGTCCGTTGAGTTCGAAGAAGACCTCTCTCTGACCGGCCTTGTTCAGGTCTCCCAGAGCCAGAGCCTTGATGTGCAGAATCTTCCCCCTCTCCAGCTCCACCTGGTTAAAGTCAACAGGAATCATTAACAACAAGAATGGGGTTCAGCCATTTCCATTTCTGACCATATGAAGAGCACAAGTTCTTACGAGGTGAGAAACCAGAGAGAGAACACAATGTGCCACTGATTCATAATGTTTTAATAGATTGGATTTCAGAAACTCCATTCATCACCGCATGGTCGAGTGAAGTAGATGTAGTTGGTTGTTTCTAGTCCATTTTAACACCAACTAGCAGTGGCAGTCACAGAAGTAGTAGCAGTAGAAGTAGTAGCAGTTGCAGTAGTGGTACAGTAGTAGCAGTAGCAACAGTAGTAGTAGTAGTAGCAACAACATCAGTAGCAGCAGAGTAGCAGTAGCGGTAAAAAATGAAACCTGCAATTGATAAAATTCCAATCATGTTGAGAATTGGTCAAAATGAATGCAAAACTCTGAACTAATTTGTCCAAAAGTATGAATTTGATAAAATCATTTAAATTCTTGATCAAAAGGCAAAAATCAAAGTTAAGCCAAGTTAATTAAATCTTTACGCACACACGCCAACAAACAGGCACACGCCGCATGTCCTCCAGCAGCTGTTCAATCAATAAAGTTTATTTTGAATCCCTGTGTGGTGTTTGTGAAAGCTTTAGCATGCTCCAGTGGCCTCCGCAGAAGTAAACAAGCCATGAACGTGCCGCTCTCTGAAACTTAGCATTTCTGACATGGACTTGAAGCTGGCAGCGGTCCGGACAGGCTGACTGAGACACACACACACACACAAACACACATACAAACACACACATGCACACGCACACGGGTTTGAACTAGCAACTTCAGACAGACACAGTCACTGCCTTTACAAGGTCATCGTAGTCATCCATCTCACACTTTTTATCATTTCTCGTCATTTTGGCTCAGAATTCAGCTGTCCAACAAGCTTCATACTAGTTTTGAATTTGCAAAGAAAGAAAAATAAGTAAATTTTTTGGAGTATAGAGTTTTGCCAAGCATTGATCTAGAATCGATTCTAGAATTCTATTTCAGTTGTATGCAAACATGCAAAAATAGGGCCGGGCGCATAAAGATAAGAAAAAACATTCAAGAGAGATTGTAACAACTGAATTATAAAACTATAGTTAATCAATAGGTTCTTGTTCTAGAGTTTTATTTCAGTTGGAAGGCAGGTGTTAATACAACTCAATTTTGATGAGAAAATCTGAAAAAGAAAATGTCTAAAGGTTTTGTTTGACAGAGATTAGATCCACAAACCCGCCAAATGATTCTCATGTCTGCAATCCTTTTGAGAGGGCAACTTCCTGATTATGATTTTGAAAATATCACCTTTACGAGAAAATAATCCAATCCAAATTCATATGTGCTCACAAAGAAGATGTAGAACTTGCTTCATATGGTTTGACCCAGAAAATGACAGTGAAATTATCTTTAAATTAAGACGGGACACTGCCTTTTGCCAGTGAACTATAGGATCTCTGGAATCGTGTGATGTCCCGCCAACACAAGCAATCATTAGGATACTCCTATAGTACTACATAAAATATCAATATTGTATCTAGATTTGAATCTTTATACATCTAAAATATCTAGCACACTCCTCACCCCTACTCTTGCCAATTAGTTTCATAAAGCATTCATACTTTTTTCCTCTCTGCGATGCTGCGTTCTTACATCAGCTTTCCAAATCTGTGCTCTCATCGCAGATTTATTCAACCATAAAAACAAAGTTAAGCTACACGGGCACAAAGCAGCGCTGTCCCCTCCCCGGTGCTTATGAATGAGTTTGAAGTGAGAGCTCCCTCCCCATGAGTTTAAATCACTGCAGTGCACTTCCATCAGCTCCTCCTCCCTCTGTTTGCACTTCAGAGCTCGGTGATTAATGAACACCACACTATTCATAACTGCAGTTTAGAAATATGTGCTGAGACGATGTGCTCCTGCGTCACGTCAGGTTTTTAGTATGTTTTAAATGTCCTTAGTTTGGCACAAGCAGATACATATCTACAAAGTATTTATACATTTGTATCAAAAGGAAATTTGTCCATTCATTATTCATCGCAATAATATTTTGGCTTGGTGTTCGGTCACAAAAACAAATCAGTGTCTTGATGAATCAGTGTATTTTATAATTATAAGTATATTTCCTAAATGGGGAGAGAGTATGGATAGGAAAGACATGACTAAGCATGATTGGAAAGATGACAGATTAATGCCAGGTTAATTTCACATATTTCAAACACAATGCTTATTATCCAAGTTTGGTGTCAAATTGACAAAATGTATGAGATTCTTCTTGTTGAATGCGACCAAACTTGGTGGTATGTTTATTTGTTTGTTTGGATAGACCAGTGTGAAGCAGCAGTGCAGCACCACACACCAGATACACACCAGATACACACCAGATTGTAGAATTGGGCTAATTTCCATCTGTTGTCCCACAGTCGCACTCACAAACACACACTCACTCACCCGGAACTATTGTACACGTTTTTAGTGCGAGGGGAAACAGGAGCAGACACCGGGAGAACATGCAAACTCAACACAGAAAGGCCTAGAGGACCAAAAGCGCAAACGTATGTTGTAAGTGCTTTACAAAATAAGACAAAATATAATATAAACATACAATCTGTTTCTGAAACGTCACTAAGTACAACGTTAAACATATTTAGCGTTGTACTTAGTGAAACCAGGGACTTTCACAGCGTAATTTAACACAGAGTTTAGACATTATTGATCAACGATAGTCTGTATTGGGATCCTTATTGACCATGCTGTAAATTCTAATAAATCCCAGTAAATACTAGTTAACCTCTTGTACTCCGCGGTGTCAGCCTGCTTTATGGAAACACTGTCTTTTATTCAGTTTGTCTGTATTTTCTTATGTACGTCTTGTCTTTAGGTCTGCGTTTCTTGTTGAGTTTTTTATAGTGTGCACCTAGAGTGTAAAATAAAGACCTAGAGTGCAGTGCAGTGTTCAAAAGAAATTTTTTTTTGAACGTTGAACTGAAAGCAACACATTTTTTAATAAAGAACTTGAATGGGAATTAGTTCACTTTATGTATCATGAATGGCAGACATTACTGTAAATGAACGTTGGAATTGTAATAATGTGCATATCTTGAGAATACTACTTATGAGCAGAGATGAAAACTCAGTATTGCTCCCATTGAAAACCATGTAAATCTGGTTTGTTTTGGGGTCAAAAGGCTCCCATCCCGTGTGGTGTACAGGAAATATACATTACATATACATTACATATATATATATACACATACACTGTATATTCACATCTATACATATTTCATATTATATATATTTTTTTTTAATTAAATGCTGGTAGATTAAAGTATAGAACTGCTCTACCTTGTCTATACTAGTTTCATCACCTGTAAGAAACCCACAAATGCAGTGTCATGAACAAATATCTACAATGAGCAGCTTCAAAGAACATAGTGATTTCTAGCTCATAGTGTGAAAAAAGTATTTATTTGAAGGTCTCACGAAAAAAAGTAAAATGAACGGAACTTTGAACTAGTTCAGAATTAAACTTGTGAACTTTGAACGTGAACTGTTCACTTTGTGCATGTATGAACTGAACTTGAACTGTTCAGAAAAGCTGTGAACTGGCACAACACTGTTAGAGTGCAGAATAAAGAAATGAGAATGACGATGACAGCAAGCTTCTAGTTCCTCCATGTTCAATCTCCGCAGAGTGAGTCACCAGTTTTAAGGTCAGAGGATTCACAATGACTAAAAAAACCGTTTCCATGCGACGCACTTGCTCCCACTAATGATGTAGTCAGAAACAGGCGACTGATGGCTCTGTCTCATGGATCTGCAACCGGCTCCAACACAAGTGCTAAACAATGAGCCGTGATTATAGTGGAGGCTTTGCTATCGCCGCGGCGTCCACAACATCGCGGAGCCCAGGACGTGTCAGCGCTCTGCGAATGTTTACAGGCAGATTTCAGCGCCCGGAAGAACCACTGGCGGCCAACGCATCGCTATCAGCTTTTGTTTCGGCTCTAACAGCGCGGGGGCAAACATTGCACTGGTGATGGCCAAGAAACAAGACTGCAAATGTTCAAGTGTTTGATGATCTGTTGTCTCAAAACGCGCCCATTTCAAATACAGCTGGTAAAAATGTTAGCAATGTGATGTATGGCCTCCTACTTTCAGGTGGAAGCAGCGCCTTTAAAGCTCCTGCGCATGCCAGACATTCCTGTTGGCTCCCATCCTGCCACCTGCGTGTCCCGCCTCATTTTTTTATGGGTTTCTCTGGTTTGGTCGTTTGGCTTTGGGTTGGTTTGTTTAGTTCGGTTCATCTTGGTTCGTTTTGGTTTATTTTCTACACATCATTCAACACTACAGACATACTCTCACAGCACATACACCAGCACACACTCACTTCAGACTTCCACACCTCATTAAAAAAACTTTTGGTTGTTGATAAATATTATTGCAATTGGCAGCTGTTTGGCGGGTTTCTATCATTTCTATTGAGTTGGGTTATGACAGTAAAGGTCTGCATGGAGCTGTATGTATTCGATGGACGAATAGGGAGTGAGTGAAAGATTTTTCACTGCAAAAACGTCTTGAATTAGTAAAATGTATCTTAAATAATGATAAAAACAGTTTTGATAACAATAAAAAAAATTCGATGGGTGAAATACGTGCAGTGATGTGGTCCCTGTAGGGGCCTAAAGTGATGAAGAGGGAACTGAGGCGAAAGGCAAAGTTCTCGATTTGCTTTGGACCTTCTTTGTGATTGGTCCAAAGCTATGGAACGCTGGAGTTTTTCTTCTTAAGTCTCTTCTTAAGGTCGACTTTTATTCTCTGGCTTCCAACACTGTGCGAGTTGTGCGGTCCTCTGTTTTTGTTGTTATTGTAGGTTTTTAAAATGTATTAATTTATTATATTTCCTTTGATTTCCAATTGGGCAGTGGGCGGCAGTAGCTCAGTTGGTAGAGCGTTGGCCTTTGAGCCAGAAGGTCGTGGGTTCAAGC